AAATCAGTGAGTCTCAAAGGGCTGGCCAAATAGATCAGCAGAGTAAAGTGCCTGCAAGCAGGTGCAGGGGCCAGGGGTTCAATCCCCGGGACTGCTGTGGCGGCCATGCCCCTGGGGCGAGCTGAGATGACAATTGAGACTGGGCATGGTGGCGTGCACCTGTAATCCCAGCTTTTGGGAGGCTGTAAACAGGCGGATCACTATGAGTCTGATATAGCGCCCGGTTCGGCAGCACTATCCTGCGTTCTGCAGCACTGCTCTGGCCGAGGGTTCAGATACACAGACCACGCTCCTGGCTGCACGTGGGACTCATTTCTCTCCTCCAGAGGGAAAGAGTTTAGCAGAAGTGCTGGCTGGGCCCTGGGATCGGAGAAGCTGTTTAATCTCCTAGGGTCCTTGCCATTATCCCTGTCACTGTTTGCAGTCTGCGACCTCACTGCAGAGCGGGGCCGTGCGGTTCTGGAGGTGAAGGAGGAGAACATGGAAAAGGCCTCTATGACAGCTGTGTAAACTCTGCGATCCAGGAGCAAGGTCCTCTCTGCCATCTGGAGGCATCTCCCCCTTTGGAAAAACAGCTGGGGTCCTGGTGCATGGTGCATAGGAACAAGGAAACAGCAGCGCCTCTGAGGACCCCACTTCTCAGCAGTTACCATCAACTTATCGCACAAACAGGGACGTGTTTCCTAGTCTACATCTGCGCCCTTATTCTTTTCCTTTCCTTCTCCTCATCTTTTCTGCATAGTGAGTCCTAAGGTCAACTTCAAACACAACACCCCATGTCCTCTCTGTGTATCATGGCAGTATCTGAATACACACAGCACCTTGATAAAATGAATACCCACAAGAGTCTCAAACTGAAGGAACCCAGTGAACATCGCACACAGAGCACACAGTGCCCAGTGAGGACAGACCCTCGGGGGCATGGTCAGGAGACCACCTTCCTTGCAAGGAAGCTGAATTGTAGCCTGGTGTATCTCACCTTCATGGATACCAGCTTCCTGCAAGGAGGAAGGAGCTCATAATTTGGGGACCAGCACTAAGTGATAGACAGTTGCTTTGTTCACTTGTTTTGCAGCATCCCATTGGATATTATTTGAGCCTTGGCAGTGTAGGCTAGAACACAGTATGGAAAGAGCACTGGGAAAGAGATTTAATTAGGGAGACAAGCTCAGTGCCTGGTAAGATCACTTCTTAGTATTAGGAGCTACAGCCTTGGTCATAGGTTTCTGATGAGGTAGGAAGAGATCAAAGCTCAGGCAAACTTAAAGGCTTGTGACAGCAATGAGGGATCAGCGGGAGCAGCTCAGTGACAGAATCTTTACCATTCCTGGCAGCCAGTCTCCTCTAAATGACCCTGATGACCCTGCCTCTTGGTGTTCACCAACAGGTTGTCCCCTCCCGCACTGTACAGGGATGACCTGGTTAACCAAGAAGATACTGCAGAAATGATGTGCTGTGACTTCCAAAGCAAGGTCATAACAGGCATTAAGGCTCTACCTGTTCCTCTCTTGGGCCATTTTTCCAGAGTAGCCAGCTGCCATGACAGGAGGAAGCCCAAGCAGTGCTAGGGATAGATCTACATGATGGAGATCCCAGACTGCCTATCAACAGCCAGTGTCACCTTGCTAGCCTTTGGAGTGAGCCACTTTGACACACCAGGCCAGTCTTTAGGTGACCAGGGTCCTAGCCAGCATCTTGACTGCCACTGCATGGGACTGCCCAAGCCAGAAACACCCAGATAAGCTGCTTTCCAATTCCTGCCCCACAGAAAACCTGCAAAGATTTATTGCTGTCTTAGTCCCTCAATTTTGGTGTAGTGCATCATGCAGCTATATATCACAAGCACACCTTCCAGGTTATTGGCCTGTTTGTTTCCATGGGAACCCGAGCTTGGCTCTTGTTTGGGTCTTAATATCAGAACCTCCTGATATCAGTATCTCCTTCCCGGACATCCACAGGCAGTAAGCTTCTTTTCTGCTCCTCTTTCTTATATCATATTCAACCACTATGGCTAGGTAAAGGGATACACAGATGCCGAAGTCTTGGCACACACACACACACACAGTTTTCTTTTAAACTCCAAAAATCACTCAAACAATGAGAATGCCAACTTTTTTCCAGAAAGAACTTGGGTGGGTTGGATGCTTTAAGCACTGTTTTCCACGATGTCTCTGAAAGGGCAGGTGGTAAGGGGGAGGCAAGGGAGGCCGAGCGCTCAAAAATGCTAGATGCTTCTGCTCTTGCTTGCTGGTCAAAAAATTCCGAGTTTGGTGAGCACCAGCAGGAGAAGAAAGATACAGACCAAAGTCTGCTTTCCAGCATTCTCTTTTTCTTTCGTACCAGAGATTGAACTCAGGACCTTGCACTTGCCAGGCAGGCGTTTAAGCTGTTGAGCTATCTCCCAGCTCTTCAGTATTTGTTTACTTATTTCAGATTGGAATTCCCCCACTCTACTCTCTTTTGAGCATGTCATCTTACCACCCTGGATGAGGAGGAAGGTCTTTGGTAAAGACAAAACCACAGATAAGTAGTGAGCACAGTAGCATATCCAAATTATCCCAGAGGCAGCCAATATGGTGGAAGAGAAATATGCTCTGGTCCTCTGGACATGGCACTGTGGGGAATGTGGAGGACAGGAGTAGACTGAATACCCACAGCCCCTTGCTCTCCAGATGGCACCAGGAAGAATGCTGAGAGCTTGGGGGCCTTGGAGTGGGCCCAGAGGGTGGGGCAGAGGGTGGAAAGCACCTCAGTGAACAGAGGGCAGCCAGGGTGGGAAGTAACTTGCAGATGCCACTCCAGAATGGAGCCAAATGGAAGCCATTGAGAAGGTGGGTAGATGGAAGGCAGTGTTTCTCCACCATTACAAGGCTTGTTCACTTTTACCTCTGCCACGGACTCTGCCCTTGCAGCTGCTAAGGCACAACCAAGGGCTATGTGAGCTGGGAAATATTCTCATCACATAGTGAGTAGGATGCTGGAGAAATTCCCGATCCTAACATCAGTTCCAGGAGACTGTGCTTTCTGAATGTGTATGAGTGGTGTGGCATTCGGAGGCTCCCACTTACTCTCATCTAGACTCAGGGACGGTACCCTCTGGGACAGAGTCCTGGCTCTGCTCATCTGAATTCCTGAAGCTTCCCCTAGTGAGCTCATCCATGCCTATGACTTCACCCACTGCTCTAATGAAACCCAAATCAGGGTTTTCAGCCTGGGCCTCCTGCCAGCCTTGCAGCCCTGACTGACTGCAACTACAGGCTCTTTCCTCTTCTTCCTGACTGGCTGTCCCTCTCCAGGCCCTTAGCATATTCAATTTAGAATTCAGCTCCACAGAGACTTGTCTGTACCTCATGGTCTTACTCCTGTCTAGCAGAACCAACTGGGAACTCTGGCACCAGCTTTGCCTCCTCTTCACAGGTTCTAGGTCCATCCTGCCTAGGGGTCTTCAGGTCTTTCCTTCATGGTTGTAGCCAACCACATCTCTGTGCTTATCACCTCCACCTCTTTTCAAGTTGTCATTGTGACAGTCATGGAATGTCCTCTGTTCTCTCTCTGTATTACACCCAGCCCATATTTCAAGGTTCAAAACAAGTGCCCCCTTTTCCTGAAGGCTTACTGAGCCTTCAAGTCTCTGTTTTTCTCCTTGCTTGAACTTCTATTCATTCTACTGGGAAAAAAAAAGTTACTGAGAGCCTGCTATGGACCCTGTGCTGGGCTGAGAAGGGGCTACAACAGTGAAGTCTTCTGGCATTCAAGGAGATTACAGTCCAGCGACCTCGCAGCCCCTCATCACTTCATTATTTCCTCTCTCGTCATGGTGTCTCCTCAGTCAAATTCATAAACATTCAACACTGAGTCTTAAATGCTTTTTGTAAAACCCATAATGACTGATAGCCTACAGAGTACATAACACGCTCTGACTTAATCCTTATGGCTATATGCAAGATGACTATTTGAGTAAGACAAGAGGTACTCCGATCCTCATCTAGGCTAGAGAAAGATCTTCAGTACGGAAAAAAGATGCACGAAGAAATTAAAGAACCCATTTTGTGTTTGGATGGCTTTTTCTATGTCTAATTGGTAATTCAATATAAATTGGCAAATTTTAAAAACAATAACCAATAACTCATTCCCCGAATCCCATAATCATGAAATAAGTTCCATTTTAAAATCAGAGAACAAATATGAAAATGATTTCATAACATTTTAATCATTAGAATTGCAGATATTAGGAAACTCCTAAGAGATTGCTCACAGGATAGAAACAGAAACACATTGAGAAACATTGGATACAAATTTTTAGATAAAGCCAGTCTGTCATCTTAATGGCAAGAGAACCCAACCCAGGAGGCCACCAGGCATCGTCTCAGCAAGCACTTCCCGCAGTCAGGATCAAGGACAGAACTGCCTCAGAGAATATCGCTTCTCATGTGTCCCCAAAGAGAAAAGATTTTTGTGAGTCAGAAAAGGATGAATCTCATCTCTCCCAAGTGCAGACTTTTTGCTATAAAATAAAAAATGGGAGCTGGGGAGATAGCTCGGCGGCCTAAGCACCTGCCTGGCAAGCACAAAGACCTAGGTTCGATCCCCGGTACCACATGTTGTGCCATATGCCATGCTAGCCCCACACCGTGCCAGCCACCGAGAGCAGGTTGTGGTGGCGTACCCCTGTAATCCCAGCGCTGGGGAGGCTGAGACAGGAGGAACACTATGAGTCTGAGCTATGTATTGAGGCCCTGTACCAAATAAACAACTAAGTAAAATATTTTTTAAAAAATATGGGAAGCTATTTCTCTTCTCCAAACCTTAAATGAATGTAGATTAGATTCTTTGTCCAGAGGACCTAGTCTGGACTTCCACTTAGACAAGGCATTCAAGGAAAGTATGTCACTGTAGTTCAGAAGAGAACTTCATGGGCCAGACAGAAGCTCGAGAATTCAGTCAGTCAGTTCTAGACATGTATACATCGCCAAACTTCATCTTAAAAAATTCTCACTTACCTGCCAGAATATGCTGTCTATTGTGTTTCCGAGAAAACCATCGCGACCTTCTGAAGACACCAGCTTGGGCCCAAGAATTGTCATGAATTCATCGAAGTCCACCTGGCCGTCCCCTGGGAGGAGAAGACGCAAGAATGAGTGGAAAAGCAGCCAAGCCTGACTCGCTGAACCCAGTGTAAGCATCTCTGCGCTTTTCTCCTCACATGACTTCAGTGAACGAAGAAGAGCTGGTAGCATTACTGCTAATTGTTCGATGTTCAGCAGTACTTATGTTACTGCTAGTTGCACAACGTCAAAATAGCACGAGAAACAAGAAACCAGAAATTATCAGAACATCTAATATCTCAAATTCCTATTTGTCAATACAGGAATGTAACCCACAGCATCATGTTGATCAATGACATACTGTACTTGCCGCCGTGGACCCGGATCATTAGAATGGAGATACAAAAAAAAAAAAACCCTGTAATCTAGTGACATTATGGCTGTTGTACTGTCACTAGACTATCACTGATGTTGTTTGTGGTCATAGACAATCTCCCAGGTGAATAAAAGTATATAGCATTATAATTACGTATGGTCCACAGTCTATGATTATAACCATAAATGACTATTTCTTATATTTTATATTACCATATTTTTATCATTGTTTTAGAAAACACACCTTCTACTGATAAAAATTTACTGTACAACAGTGTTCTGTATTGTTCTAACAGTAGCTTTCTACATACTCTGCTTATCATACTTCTTGCCAGCCTACTTTTCTCTTGTGCTTGATTTAACCTTATGTTTGCTCATTGCGGCTCTAAGAGCAGTATGTTATGCTACAGGGTGATCAAAACGAAGATTTAAAAAAATGAGAAAAAAAAAGGGGGGATCCAGGGAGATGGTTCATTGGAATAAGTACTTCCCCGGCAAGCACAAAGGCCTGTGTTCAATCCCCAGTTCCCCTTAAAAAAAAAAAATAAAATTAAAAATTTATAAAAAAAAACGAAGATAAAAATTTAACTTTAAAAAAATTAACTTCCGTAAGGAGATGCATTGCTGTCAATCACCCTCAAACTCCTCCCTGGTTTTGCACATACACCATGTTTGCCACTTTCTGAGGCCGCCCTGCCAGCCCTTTGTCCTCAGTGTCCTACTGAACTACATTCAGAAGTACGCCAAATGCTGCTGCTAGTGTCCCCTGTGGAAAGACAAGCTTGCAGAAACATCACAGTGTCCTCATCCACCTTACAGACAGGCTCTGGCTCTCTGCGACTTCTGGCTTTCCCCAAAGTGGAAAGGACCACGAAAGGCAAACATAGCAATCAGTTCAGTATATCTTTAGAACTGCTTCTGGAAGTGGCAAGAATAACAGGCTAAGTGTGTTGGAAGTGATGGGGAGGATTTTGAGGGAATTAGTGGCAATGTGTCTTTTATTATAATAAATTTTAAAATGTAAACACATCCTTCAATCGTACCTCATATTCATGTGAATGAACACACGTCTATGTAGCTCAGGTGTGCAATAGGAACACAATAATGTTAACACAACGATGAAACTGCTTAATGTGTTTCTCTGAGTGCAGCCCACTGTTCAGCAAGGGACCACTGCCCTGCTGCTCCAGCCCAATGCCCAATCAGCACCTCCCACTGAACAAGTCCACGTGTCACACCAGTGGCTCCCTGGACCTCAGAACACCCAGCTGAGCGTGACATACGTGATGGCTTCATCCTTGGCTCCCACACCCAACTTCAGTCACCAAGTCTTCCCAACTTCACATCTTGAATACCTCTCGTCCTCAGCATCCAACATCTAGTTCTCTGCGACGGCTCTAGTGGGCCAGTGCTTCCAAGAACTAATATTCTGTGATTACTTGTACCAAAGCCAACCTCATCATGCTCCATAAATTTCAGTGGCATCTCAGACCAAAAATAGAGAAACCACCTCCACACAGTATTCAAGCCCCTGTATCTCTGTTGTATGCTTTGGCTCCCCACCTTTGCACAAAATGCCATGCTTTTTGAGGCCCTCTGCCCACATACTCACTTCAGTTCCCTCCTTGAGGATGCCTTCCTTCATGAATGTACCTGGGAAGCATGATCTTGTCTTTAGAATGGAGCTGAAACAGCATGTTCTCTTTTATTATTCTTGACTCGACCTCTTCTCACTAGCCAGAGTTGGTCACGTGTGTGTGAGTGTGTGTGTGTGTGTGTGTGTGTGTGAGTGTGTGTTCTCCTTCTAACTTACTGTGCACCTATTACAAAATTCATCACCTTGTAGCCCAGTCCCTGATTTGCATGCCTGCCTTCCACCTGGGCTGTGAATTCTGCAAGGTCAGGGAACAGCTCTAAAGTATCTTTGGATAATTCAGTGCCATCACAAACACTCAGGATGTACTTATGGAATGAGTGAATGAATGAGTGAATATCTCTCCTCTGTTATTTTTTTTGTTCAATCCAGCATCAGTTAGATCTCTCCTGCTAGAGTTGATTCAAACCACAAGGTAGACGGAGCCAGCTTTACAGACAAAACTCAGCCTTCAGGGCATTGCTTGAATTTAATGAGTCATGAGTGTCACTCTTTGCACCTTCCGAACTGCTCGAAAGGACAACTCTAGCAGAAGCTCGGCCACATCCTTATCTTGGCCCTCGCCAGGAAAGACAGCCCAGGTTTCTGTAGGCAAGAGTCTGCCAGAGTGAGATACAGAAATGAATCTCTACATGCACACTGGCCTTCAGTGAGCATTCATTCAAAACTTATTTCCAGAAGCCAAGCAGATGTCATCATTAAGATGTCAGCCATTCAGAACAGATAGCCCAGGAAGTGATCCCAGCGTAGATAGCACTTCAGCGAGGATTAGGGAGGCGAGTCAGTGGGAATGGGAAGCGTTAGCCACCCATGGGGTGGAACCGCCAAGGAGCTACTCAGAGGGTATCAATTTTATTCTCACCACTAAACAAGATAAAGTGATCTAAACTTTCAGGCTCCCTAATATAAGCATAGTCACGTGAATTCAAGAAAAGAGGAAGTGTCTTGCCATTAGGTCTCCATGCTGGTGGCCATACACAGCATAGACCCCCATGCATTCCTACTATACTTGTCCTGGATATCAACAGGTAGCACTTATTGGAAGCTGTAATGTTGGTTGCTTTGACCCTAATAGCTGTATTTCTTAAGAAAAACAAAGCACTGAAATCACCTTGACCTGCAGAACAAGATGTTTGCGCATAGAGTGTCATCCAATATTTGTAAAAGTGAAAATGTGAAAACCCAAGACACAGGAGAATGGCCCATTCTCCCCAGCACTGGACACCTCTACAAGCTGACTCCATGTGGCTTCCCCTCTCAGACAGGAACACTTGTGACCCAAGCATCCCAGCCCTCAGCTCACCCCAAACCACCTCTAGTGACAGCTGGGGCAGCATGGTCTAAACTATCTCAGAGTTGAACATAAAATCTCAATACATGGCATGATATCCAGTGGGGCAAAAGTGGATTCCTAGAGGACAAATCTTCTTAAGTATCATGAAGGTCTACAACTCTTCCAGGGCTACAGTACACAAACAGATGCAATTTCTCTTAGCCACTTTCCTGTCCATAGACATAGTAGCAATGCTGAGTTTGAAAGAGGCGATATTATCTTGGTTCATAGTTTCAATCTATGGTCAGCTGGCTCACAGGCAGGAGCAGGAATGCAGAGAGGCACACAGCAAAAAGAAGGCGCTCAACCCCTGGTGGCCAGAAAGCAGAGGGAAGGGAGGAGCAGGACCCCAGAACGCACCCTCTGATGCCTGCCTTGCTCTTCCTGCGACCCACCTCCTATCCACACATTCAGCTACTGAACTCCTCGAGGACTGATGCACTGACGTACACGGCGCCCCAAGACCCAGTCACCCTCCACACACACGAGGCTTCTGGGGGATGTTTTAGATCTAAACCATAATAACAGTATTTCAGCACTATTAAAATTTCATGTGGGTAGGGCAACTAGGGGAGCACATGTCTTTAAAGGTTCCTGTGGGTGGGGAAAGAACAGAGGTGGGAAAGAGGAGAAGGAGGGGAGAATGTAGTTGGAGAAGCTCCGGATCGATGCATGCCTCGAGTACAGACCGCGGTTCTCTAAAGTCTGGGTGTAGGTCCAGCAGACGTGAGTCTCACAGCTCATCAAGTGTTAGACGCTAAGGGATATGCATCTATAAATGTGTGGCCCGCATGAGCTCTTAGCTAAAATATATCTCAGGCGGGTCACGCAAGCCCCTACCCATCCGCTTTGGATGGGGTGGTCCAAAGGAGCTGGCAAAACCCACACTTCTCAGCAAAACCAGCCCGTCTTTGAGCAGCCCTCCTTCCAAGCAGGAAGGCTCTTGGAACCTCCCTCCAGGGGACTGGAGTCTGGCAGTGTGCACAGGGTACATCTCAAGGGTCTGCGTGGAATTCAGCTAAATCAGTCTAGCACCGGGGAGGACTCACAGGTGGCACACTTAGCTGGGGACATGCCAAGCCAGTGGTCACCAAGCAGAAATGGGGCTTCAGAATGGTATGCTGGCCCCGGTGAAAGAAGCGTCCCACTGACTAGGGTCTGTGGCTAGAGAGGATACCTGGGGAGAGGCACGGGAGACCCTGTGGGTATACCACCTGTGGCCTGACTTGGCGGAAAAGGTCCAGATCAGGTGAGGATTTACTTCTAGTTTAGGAGAGGAAATTTAGAATCCCAGACCTTTTATTGGTCAAAATATTACTTCTTCCCGTACTGTAACTTATAATAAGGAATATAGGTTTGGCTTGGCCTTTGTCCCTTTTTCATGGCATGTAGCTTATAAAGGACATTCAATTTCTAAATGGCAGAAGTTCTAGGAACATCTTTTACTCTAATACTTGCTCTCTGACCCTGGTGTCTTTTTGCAAATTAATATATAAAAAATTACACTCATCTTGGAGAATTGGTAGACTCACATGCTGCATCTTGGTCATTCTTTACTCCTGTTCTTCTTCCTGCCCTCCCCTCCCCCCTTGACCACAGTTTCTAACTGGCCCAGAGCCCCTAAATCTCTGGGGAGTTCTTGGCTGACAGGAGTGACTCAGGTTCTTTTTAATTAACTTTATTGAGGAAGAAATAGCAATAAGACA